TCTTTAAGCTTTATTATACCTATTATTAGTTATTAATGTTAAAGAAATAAAATACAGGTTAAAACTATTACTATTACTATCACTATTTATTAAAAAATGCCGGTAAAAAAAAATTACATAACAATATTATATTATAATATCTTTTTGTTAGGAGCTCGTGTCCCGATGCTCAGATATAGAGTAAACTGTGTTGTCACAAATTATATTATCATCAGATTATTTATATGCCATAATATTATAATGTATTAATGTGTGAGAAGTGTGAGTGCCGACAGTGCCGTGCGGTCGATTATTATTATTCAATTACAATTTAATTATTAACAATATTTATATTTATTTTTTTCATTAAACTTTGTAAAATAAACAAACTATTATATTATATTATACAAAATTATTATATTATTGATAATATGTTTAAAATTAGATATCTTCAATTTGGCCTTTTGATTGAGGAGGGGACCCCCCCCCCATAAATACGCCACTGATCAGCTTTATACATGTACATCTCAAAATAGGAGTACTATCACTAGATACATAAGAAATTATAAATGTAGATGTGAATAAGTAAAGAAATGTGCTATTGTCTATTAATATCTATATGTCGCATCCATATRGTGAAACCATTTTGATGGACATCCATTTTATGAAATGGATAATACCTATAACGTGCACTTTGTGTAATTATTTTAAAACAAGATTTTTATGTTATAATATCAMTATATTACTTATATTACTATAACTATAATAAAGGTAATTTTCCATATTGTGCTATTAACAAAAATATAGCAATTATAGTCAATAAACTATATCATATTAGTTTATATTTTTCATAAACCATAAGCATATTTAATTTTTAAACGGCTAATTTTACTATACTTACATAAAATACTTTTCAATATAAATAAAGATAATAATATTTTATCCGTGGACTACATTATGTGAGAAAGATATTGGATTGAATTTCGGTAATTCAGCATCCGATATCAAATGAATGGTTTCTTATCGGATGACRGTTGACGCAAACCTATGTAACTGCTAAGTTGTTCCAAAAAACATTTAGTGAGTGTTTGTGTATAACACAGTTTAAGAAAAAACATCCTTGCCAATCAGGTAGGTGTGCTTGTGTAGAAAATAATATGTAATGTAACAGACGACGTCATAATCAATCGTCATGTAAAAATTAATAATAAGGTAAAAAATGTATAGGTATAGTTTAATCCGTTTAAGTTAATCGTTAATCAATTAATTATTTTGTAAATAAAACAAAAGAGAAATATAGGTAGTTAAATATTATAATTATAGTTAATTTTATGAATATTTTAACACTTAATATAGGACATAGGTAACACTGTTGTTTATAAAATATAATATATTATGTATGGTTTTTAAAAATAAAATAAAAATGTGATGCAATATGATATAATTCATTGATTATAATTGCTATATTTTTGTTTATAGAACAATATAGAAAATTACCTATATAGTTATAACAAAATAATAATTACATAAAGTACATGATATAGGTATTATCCATTTCATGAAATGGATGTCCAAATAATGTATTTTCRTCAAAATTCATGAACTGGACAAATTTCACTATCTGGATATCCAGTTCATGAAATGAGTGGTTTCACTATGTGAATGCAACATATTATATAATATGCTGTAGAATGCAGCAGGGCATGACTTATCAACACCACCAAGACAATAGAATTCTACAGTCTTCTGCTATGTGTTTAATGGGTCTTTACCAAACAAAAAGATTCCTAAAAATTTATTTCTAAAACAATAACAACAGCAGTTTTAAAATTGAAATATAGTTTAATTAGATAACATCAAAAGACAAAAATATAGYGAATAAATAGTAACACAAAAATCACATAGTAGAATATAACCAGTACAAATAACAGAATATTAACAAATAACTAATAAGCCAGTGACGTTGCAAAATATATTATTGAATATAATGTTTAATTGTTGATTTTAGTCTCATAGCACTATAATTTGTCATATGAATAACATAATTATAACACTATGATATTATTTTAATAAATTATAATTGTTATGTTAATTATTAAATTTAAAATGATTTTTCTTCAAAAGTATAACTACAATACAATTAATTAAAGTCTATAAATAAATAATAATAAGTTGACAACGCCACTGTACGCATTTATGCATTTATTAATGCACGAGTAATGATACAATTAATTTGTTTAAAATTCTAAGTAAAATAACGAATTAATATTAAATGATCAAGCACCAATTTTTAGACTTTAAACAACCATAAACATTAAGTTTATAAAATTTATTCAGAATGTACAAGATTTTTTCAATGTGTGGCACATATTTACCCTGCTTAAAAACTCAAATATTTGTAATTCATAATATAATTATATAATTAATTTTATATAATATAAATACTATCAAGCAGATTTGGCAATGATTTAAATTTTGGTTTATTTAAACAACAATATAGAAAAATTAACAAATCTTCAAAACTAATAATAAAACAAAAATTGACATTATGAAAATGAATTATATTAATTTGGCGAAGTGAGTTTAAATGTTTATCATGTGTTAAATGGTAAAAGAATAGAAATGTTTATAATAAATTATGTAGATATATGATCTAAAAATAACTGTTATTTTTWAAATACCCAAGCCCGAAGTATTTAACTTAAAAATACCAAAATTTATATGATTCTAAGTAGATGAAAAAAKAATAAATAWTAAGATTGAATTATCATAATTTAAATCTTGCTCTAAGAATGAGTAAAAATATAGTTGTATACAATATTAAAATTAAATGCAAAACTATGAAAATAGTAAATATTAAATATCAATTTCAGATTTCAAGATTAAATAATGCAAAAGGCGTAAAATGTATTAATGATCACATAAATAGAATACTGCATAAAATTAAAATAAATATAGACATATATTATTTTTAGCCAACAATTAGAGCCGTCAAACATTTTTTGTAGTCACCTGATGTATCGTCCTGCAACATAAAATTGATCAATTAACAAATTATTTTCTGTGAGCACCAAAATTATAATGTAAATAAATATTTTAATGAAATAGATTAGTTTTCTTTAATAWGGTTTCAAATGGATGTGTGCAAATTCAATAATTTTCAGACTAAGGTTAAAATAAGTTCAAGCAAACCAATAATCATGTTAAATATTAGTTAATTATTGATTAATTCAGCAATCAATCAYTACAGCTAACGTTTTTTTCATTCACTACTCGTGCAGCAACTCACCATAGTATCAGACTGTTGATTCGCATAAATAAAACAAAACAAATTTTAAATTAGGTATTATATATGTCATCAAAAGTTTTCTAGATTATAAAAGAATGTCTAAGATATCTACTAGTGAATATTTCATTTAAAAAAAAAAGGCTATATTAAATAGAAAAGGTCATACATATTATGAACATTTGAAGCAGGGTCTCGAAATTGAATATGTTTAATTTTAGTTTATCCTATACAGTAAGCAAAACTAACTCTGTTAATAGATTAACACACCCGCATGTCTTACAAATGTACAACATGACAAACTATTCATTCACAATAATTCATTTTACTCTGTTATTTCTAAAATTTGAGTGAATTGATCTGTTATAAAATTTAAAGTTAAGATTAATATCTAGGACATTTCTGAGGTTTTTATTGATATTTTTAATAAGAAACGAGTTATAAACAATTTTAAGCTGTACATTTAAAATGATCATAACTTATTTAAATATCAATAAAATCTTCAGAAATTCTCTACATTAATCTCACCTTTACATTTTATAATAGGTCAAATTACTTTTATTTTAGAAATAAAGTAAAATTGATTATTATTTATGTAAAATTTTCCATGTTATATTTTTGCGAAGAAGGAAATAACACCTGTTTACTTTTCTTTATCTTAAACATACAATAAAACAAATTTATGTTCAAGAGTTTTATATTTTTGCACCTATTGATATATCTTAATCTAAGTATTAAATATATTTATAACTGTGTAAAATAACAATTTTTAAATTCCACACTCACTCAAAAATGTAAACATTGATAAAAACATAAAAAATATATATATTATCATAAATTGATAATTCCTGCATTTAAATTTGATAACGAGTTTCTCTATTATGTATGCAATTTATTCATTATTAAAACCAACTTCAAAAACTTGATTCTGCTGAATTCAGATTTTGCATGTTGTAAAGTTTTAAGAGAGAGACCATACTTGTGGGTGTGATATCTTAATGTAATATTGTATGATCAAATAAATAATGGTAACATAYTTTGTATCACTTTATTTTAATATTTAGAGTTAAATAATAAAAGATGATAGTTTAGTCTTATATAGTATATTAAATGTTTTAAATTTATGGAACCAATTTTGAACTAAAAATGTATTTAAATTTTTAAATCAAGTTAATTTTAAATAATTTAAACATTATATTATTTCATTTTATTTATGTACCTATCTAGAATCTAGAAAAATAAAAACGATGAATTTTATTGTTTTTGACATTTTTTGAAATATTAAGTTAATATTTAACCAAATGTGATTTTATTTGAAAATTTCCGAAATAAAGATTTAAAATTAAAAAAATATCGGGAATTAATCATTATCAAATTTAAAATATATTTTTATGATATTTAATAATTGTGCACCCTTAACTTCATAATAAGACTAATAAATTTGATAAAATATAATGCTTACCGCAATATCAGCCTCCAATGATTTCCCATACATTGACATGTAAGCATTCTTTATTTCAACCATATCTATTTCACAACGAGTTGCAACAATACGAATCAATGCTCTATCATTTGTACCAAAACCAGCCATGCTTTCATGCAAACGTTTGGCGAAGTATGAACTTTTGTCTCTTACGGATTTCACTGTAAAACAAATAACAGTCTATAGTTTATAGTTCATATACAAATAGTTTAATCTAGAAAATTCTTACCAATTGCTCTAAGCCCATTTTCAATATCTCCACTGAATTCACTTTTGATGACATCTTCAAAGTCTCTCCCAGTTAGACGATGATATTCCAAAAATACTTGTTGTAATTGACAGTAACTACGGCTACACAAGATCATGTTGAATGTAGATTCATCCGTTCCAAATTTCAGTTCACCTATCAAGTTATAACAATTTAAAAATACATTAGTAGATTACACTTTTTCTTTTATAAAACTAATATAATAATTTACCAGCTTGTAACAAGTTTTGTCCATCAGCTTGTGCAGCTGCAACATCGACAAATGTATTTTCATTGCGTTGCCCCTATATAAATAAAAGTAAAATTATACGAAGGACAAAAAATTGAACTAAAGAAAAAAACAAACCTGACAAAGTGACACTAATAATCTGCGGAAACTTCCTGATGTTTCTCCCATAAGCTCCTTTTCTAAATCATTTCCAAATACTAGAAAAAATCATAATAATTAAATTACTAAACAAATATAATATAACAATACCAAACATTAAAATAGAAACTAAATAAAACCTACACTTATGATATGCCATTTTTATGTTATTAATCTCAGCATTAGAAGCCGTGCATATGATTTCAATTATTGTTTCTTCATTAGTGCCAATACCATCAATAGCATGGTGAATTTCTTTAGCAAGAAAATCATATGTAGGTGTCATCAGTGCTACAACCAAATCTTCAAACTTTCCACTCAGTTCACTTTTCAAATCAGATATTAAATCCTAAAATAACAAATCAATATTTTATTTATCAAGCAAATAAATACCACTAAATTAATGATTATGTAATTTAGTTAGGCATGTCATAAACCTAACAAAAATTATGTACTACTTACTTTACCGAACATAGTTTTAAATTGAACTGCAATTTCCTGTCTTTGAGAATTAACTCTATGGGCCAAAACCTGTATTATTGATTTTTCATCAGTTCCAAACCCTTTCATAGCTTTACGCAATATTTCAGCATCACGACGTGGATCAAATGGATTGGCTGGTCGAACTGTTGGATTAGACTAAAACAAAACAGAATGATTTTCAATATGCATAACATAAATAGGTACGGTACACATTTTTGTAGGTACCATTTTTCTTTTTAAAAACTATTGAACTAATATTGCAATGTATAATTAATGAACAAATTAGCAATAAATAACTAATAGTTACTGGTTATAAAGATGTACATTGTAGTATTATACATTAATTAAAACAAGGGCTATGCGTCATCTATTTTTTAATAATATCAATAACAAAATATAAAAGCTGATTATCATGTTATTTGCATTATCTGAAATATAGGCCAATAGCGTTAATTAAAATGAGTGCAATGAAATAAAGTGTTTATGAAAGCGAGATATTAATGAGATATCTAATCATTCTAATCTAATATATTGTATTGGTACTCTTCAGAACTTACTGTTATTCCCTAAATAATAGACATGTAGAATCAGCACTAATCAACAATATTTAATCACGTATAATTAGTTATATTCATGCAAATATTGAAAATAGTTTATAATTCATATAATAAAATTGTTATATCTATTTTCATCAGATATAAGGTCAAGAATAAATATTAATAAATTATATAGATTAAATARTGAAATAAATTACATGAAAACAGTTTCAATGTAGCTCTTAAAAAATGGAAAGTTTCAAGGGTAATGTAATTTTTATAAATTTTTCATTTTAACAGTAAAATGAACAAAAAAATAAATATTAGTGATTCATTGATGGTTGTTTTTAATATATTGAATCATTGTTTTTGAATGGAATCATAATAAATATTTCATTWATTATTAAATTATTTATACATTTAAAAAGAAATTAATGAAATCTCACCTTTTTCTGAGCAGGTGAGCTGCTCAATGGTTGATAATGAGCAGGAGTACTAATAGGTGGATATGCTGCTTGTGGTGGAACTCGAGAACCACTGTCGTAACCACCAGCTGTCATATTCGGATAAACTGAAGTTGCTGGTTGATTGGGTGGGTAAGCTGATTGAGATGGGTATGTTGATTGAGTTGGGTAGGCAGCAGACTGAGGTGCGTAGCCAGATGGCAGTTGGGCATTTGGATATGGGGAGGCTTGTGGTGGATATTGGCCTGGTACAGAGGATGGATATTGACCTCCAACAGTAGATGATAGGCATTGGCTTGGTACAGCTGATGGTGGATACATGGATGGATTTGGAGCATATGTACCAGACTGAGGTAAGAACTGTCCAGGTTGTTGTGGTGGATATTGACCTACTTGAGGAGGGTATGGGTTCTGTTGGGGATAGCTGGGTTGACCTGGTGGATAAGCACTTTGCATTGGATACCCTTGCTGTCCTATATTACCTCCGGGGTATGGTGGATAGGGTAACTGGGAGCCAGGCTGTTGCACTCCAGGTTGGCCAGGGAATCCCTACCAAAAAAAAAGTTCATACAATATTTTAACTAGGTAATAAGTATCCTAAACTAAATACATTCTTTTAAAAGAGGTACTTTGTAAATTTGTAACACAACTATAAATAATTTTCACATTAACATTTAGATTTTGGAAAATAATAGATTGTTTTCAGCATGCTTAACTATAAATAACTAAAACAAAAAAAGTTGTAAATAAAAAGAGTGTCCTATAAAATTTAAGGTAAAAT